ATATAACAAAGAGTGAAAAATTGAAGGGGGTCTGAATACTTTCCGTACCCACTGTACATTCTTTTTTGTTTAAATTTTTTTCTTCTGGAAATACAGGAGATGTTCACTTTAAATTAAATTTATTTTTAAATAATTAAACATTTAACAGTAGCACAGTAAAAATTGGTTATAATATAGTGCTTTTGTCTGTCCAAATACTTATGTAGTTTCTTTCAATGTTTGTGAGGAAAAAAAATCGCTCCAATAATGTGTTTCAGCTATTGGAATTTTACAACTGCACGTATTCTGTAGCACCCAGAATCCCTTTCATTTCGACATGTGCAGATAAGAGATGGATATGCTGAATAAGGCATGGAAGAGAATATGGAAGATAATTCTCATTAATACTATACAGCCATACAGTAGCACTGAAACATTTTGTTTTATTTTATTTTTTATTCATACATTTATTAAGCAAGATCTGCATTACACTGAAAACTGGAGTAATGGCTCCCTAAAAATTCAGCGTTGTCATCACAGGAAGAAATTACATTTTAAAATACATTAAAATAGAAAATATTTATTTGAAATTGTAATATTATTTCACAATATTATAGTTTTTACTGTGTTTTTTTTTTAATCAAATAAATGCAGCCTTGGTGAGCAGTTTTAATTTTTTTTTAAACCATTCAAAATTCTTACCAACCCCAAACAGCGGTCTTATTCAGATTTTTTTAAAATCTCGAATATTGGTTTAGTCAGGTTATGACAATAGATTACAGTGTTCACGTGACATGTACTGTATATATTCAGAATATCCAAATTCTGATTAATAAAAGAATATATAGTAAGCGCAGTCATTTTTACTTGTGGATTTGGATATTCTTACTTGGGTTTGAAAAAGTGAAAACAGCTCTGGAAGCAACAGTGTATCATGCAGACAATGCCGTAGGCTGAATAGTTTATATTCAGAGTAGCATTTTAAGATGGACTACTGCAACTAAGTGACCTACTTTTTTCTTTATTTGGAGAGGCCTTGATCATTACCATGCGACAGAGAAATCGTGGTATTATGCAGCACATGACTAGATGAATAATAACCTTGACTGAGCGCATAGTCTTTTTTGGATCCCTACATGCCTCTCATTTATTATTAGAGAAAACCAATGTCCAATTCATTCTAATGTAACAGTATTTTTAACTGCTCCCAATAGATGTGCTATGAAAGTATTCATCAGATCAAACTTCTTCAGGTGCTTTGTGATATAAATCTGAATTAAATCTTGTTTTGACAGCCCATCTTATGTAAAGAATACTCACTGCCCGTGCTGCCATTGTTACAACAATGCCTGTGATGAAGGTCAGGTAATACCCTGGGTAAACTCCGTGCCAGATGGCTGAGAGGAGGAATGTGGCCGCAGTCGGATTGTACGGGCAGCGCTCATAACACACTCTGCAGAGAACAGCATCAAAGCTCACATTGTTTCTGAGATTTCAGGAAGTACACACATGCTCAGTCACGATTATTTTGAAGTATTCACCTTTTCAACCAAAGTGCCGTCTGTATGTTCCAGTTATCCAAGAACATCTTGAAGCTGGTGGCAAACTGTTAAGGACATCAAGAAAAAGATGATATATTAGGGTTCAGGTCGAGTGAGAAGACAAACTCGTGGAAGCAGCATATTTTGGCTTTGTCTTACCTCAATATTAAGTATTCTTAAGTTTGATATTCTGTCCCATTTTGGGGTGCCATCTGCGTTATAGCCATTAAACCCAAAACCAGCCGCATTGTTGATGGCATCGGCTGTGAAAGAGTGAAAGAATCTAGTAAAAAAACATCTGATTCACCATTACAAAAAACCCCACCTAATATCCAACTAGAAACAGGGCAACAAGTCAGAGAAAATGCCTTTTATGAACACAAGAGGGCAATACACTGAGTGTTTTATTGACGAGTGGTAATAAAATGGTTATTATGCATTTTTTATCAAATTTTATGCAAATATGTAATGGTATTTAGAATTATATAATGTGTTAGGAATTAGATTATTCTTCAATAATATGGAGATGTAGAGGTACAAGACCTGGATGTAGAAAGGGTTAGAGGCCATGAAGGTGTCGTCGATGACACGCACCGTAGGGCAGATGGTGTAGATCACCAAATAAACCATTAGTGACAGAGCACACGTGCAAACTTTCTGGATCACATCCCTCTATAAGAACAACACAGACCATTTCAGAGAGTCAAAGTCATTTCAATTAATGAAAACGTCTTCCAAAAAAAAAAACAACAAAAAAAAAACACTACTGTTCAGAAAACACTACTTTCCGCTTAATATATTGAATGATTTGAACAGTAGTGTATGTTATGGAAAATAGCACTTTTAACCATACAGAATATTATTTTTTAAAAGTGTTTATAAAGATGAGTTTCTTTTTGTATAATTAGCATCTAAAAGCTCATTTTATTTTACTATCATCAAATCACTGAGGAGCTGAAATAGCTGGATGGTAAATTAGCAATGATTCTGTGTTGCAGTAAAACCATTTGTGAACGCAACTTCCTCAGGCTCTTCTGAAACTTGCGAGTGAACTGATTCAACAAATGCTTTTGTCTACTGAGGATGAAACCTATACATGTTTTGTCTATTGAGGATGAAACCCATGCATCACTGACAATATTTAATAAGGTCTGCAGCTTTTACTGGTTTTACTGGTTAAAATGTTGCTGAAGTCCATTAAAGTGAGGCCATTGTCAAACTCCTGAGGAGGAAATGCATATAAAAGTATGTTCATCACCAGAGCTACACTCAAAACAAACTCTCCACTCAGCATGTCTGAGAAATATGAGCTCATGTCCATGAAGGTTTTCATTCATTTAAATGACATGAAAATCCATAAGGCAACTGATAATGCAATAGGGAATGCAAAAAAGTTCAGTTGAGTTTAAATCTAAAGTTTTGTGAGTGCTCCTCATTGTCAACCCAAAGTAGCATTGTTTACCCCATTAAAAAAGCATTTCCCCTATAAGTTAGTAAAAAAACTGGTTCTGACACCCTGAATACCTGTCTTAAAGTGGTCATTATATTCCTGTTCAAACACACTCACATATTCTTTGTTTAATTTATGATTGCTGTCCACATTTACTAAACGTCTTCTACTCATTTGGTTCAGTTTTTCATGTATAACTTGGGGTTTGTTTTGGCTCTGTAATTAAAAAAAAAGGATAATTATTGTTAAAACTATGTAAATGAGTAAGGGTGCAAAAAAACATACTGCATAAAAATATCTAAATGAAAATAATGAATAAAACTAAATTAAAAAATAATAAAAAAACAAACTGTAATATTTATGTATTTATAAAGTGTATCAATAAAAAAAAAATCTATATTTATATAAAAAAAAAAAATAATTATTCCTATGATGGCAAAACTGAATTTTCAGCATCATTACTCCAGTCTTCAGAGTCACATGATCCTTTAGAAATCATTCTAATATGCTGATTTGGTGCTCAGTTACTGTCAATTATTATTCATGTTCAATTATTAATAATTGTTCTTTTAATTATCACTGCTGAAAAAGGTTAATTTTTGTTTGAAACTGTGATATATTTTTTCAGGATGATGAATAGAAAGTTTAAAAGAACAAGATTTACTTGAAACAGAAATCTTCTGTAACATTGTAAAATGTCTTTAGTATTACATTTTTTTTTTCTTACTCATCTCATACTTTGCCTGGTAATACGTGTGTGTGTGTGTGTGTATGTGTATATACATATCATCTTGTATTTAACTATGTAATGTACAGTATATTATCTATCTGAAAGCACAAATGTGATACGGTCACCAGAGGGAGCAAGAGAGCAGTGTAACCACACTACCTTAGGTGAAGGGTCACTCTGCTTGAATTTCCTGTCCTCCTTGCCATTTGACTCCAGGTGCTTGGGCTCGTACCCTCGGCCTTTTATAAAGGCTATGTAATCATTATAGGAACAGGTCGGGCCGGCCAAGATCCCCATAAAGTTACAGTTATAACTCAGATACTCCAGCAGACTGGGCATCTTCCTGTACAGCAAACACAAGGACAGAACAACTATAAGTCACCAAATAAATTGTATAAGTAAAAAAAAAAATTGTTTGATTTAACTAACAAAGCACAACCAATATCAAGTACCAAAACATGATTTGCTTTGTAGTGGAAATAATGATGAAAAAAGACAAATGTTAAAGGGATAGTTCACCCAAAAATGAAATTGCCCCATGATTTACTCACCCTCAAGCCATCCTAAGTGTATATGACTTTCTTCTTTCAGACAAATACAATCGGAGTTATATTAAAAAAATATCCTGGCTCTTCCAAGCTTTATAATGGTGGTCGAGATTTTGAAGCTAAATAAAGTGCATCCATCCATCATAAAAAACACGGGGTTAATAAAGGCTTTCTGAAGCGAATCGATGCGTTTGTGTAAGAAAAATATCCATATTTATAAGTATATAAGTAATCTCTAGCTTCCACTAACTGTCGTATGTGCATTCACAAGAGAGTGGCGTAAGGAAGGCGAAGGAAGTAGAATGTAGGTGTAGCGTCCAGTCCAGTAAGAAGTGACGAATGCACAAGAGCAGAGGAGAGAGAAAAAAAAAAAAGGGGTCACGAATTAGAAGTGCAAAATGAGGATTTGTAAAGAAAAATGGAGGATTTCGATAAAAGCAAAGAGGAAACTGGTTTTCCTTTGCTGTAAACCAAACTTGGTTCTCTCGAGACTAGAATATTCTTACCGGACCGGACCGGACGCTATGCCTACGTCACCCGCTGGACGCCACTCTCTTGTGAATGCACATACGACAGTTAGTGGAAGCTAGAGATTACTTATATACTTATAAATATGGATATTTTTCTTACACAAACGCATCGATTCGCTTCAGAAGGCCTTTATTAACCAGGATAGGACAGGACAGTTTTTAATATAACTCCGATTGTATTCGTCTGAAAGAAGAATGCACCAAGGATGGCTTGAGGGTGAGTAAATCATAATTTATTTTTCATTTTTGGGTGAGCAATCCCTTTAATATATAAATATTATTACTGTAGTAATGTTTTTCAGTATTTAAGAAAGCAGAGAATGTTATAAATCACTTTAATGTTATAAGGCCATTAATTAGTTTATCAAGGCAAAGGAATTAGAGGAAGCAGCTTCTCAACAAGCTACCGAAGTTAAATTAAGGCACCTTTTTAAAGAAGCTACGGTACAAACTACAAACATAAGATAGTTTAACATAAGTACCAAAATAATACGGAAAACAGCAATGATGATTTTGCTTTACAAAATTATCTATTTTACATATATACATTACATATGATTAATCAAAATAAAATGACAAATAAATAAAACATTAATATAACAAAAATTAACTATATTTTATTACTATAAATAAAATATAACTAAATATATATTTTATAGCGAGATATATATTAAAATCTCTCTCTCTCTCTCTCTCTCTCTCTCTCTCTCTATATATATATATATATAATGTGTAATATATAATATAAATATAAAGATAATGCTTATCTGGCACAAAATCAATCAATGAAGATATCAGCATTATGCTTACATAGACAAATGTACAATATATATGGTTCAACTTGTTTTGAACCAGGTCACTGGAATGAACTGTCTGAACAAACTTTGCTAAAATGAATCCGTCACATTTGTCAATTAGCATTTTTCCATGCGATGCTAATTTACACTTTTTTCTTAAAACAGCTGAGCACTGTTACAGTAGTTAGTCCAGTGGTTAAATATAATTCTATATACAAGATTTACACTAGGATTACATGAATTTGATCTGACTGCTATTATCTCAACCGTGAATGAGTTTGTAGCATATGTAACCAGCACTTGGGTCATGTTTGAACAAGAATGCAACTCATCCATTATGTAAATGTTGACATATTGCTCAACACTCTGTGACCACAGGGCAGTGGTACTATCATTATTCAAAACTGCTCTTATTAACTGCAGGGTGTGACTTCCGAAACCTCAGAATCCTGATAACTTCCTGTGGACACCGGTTGACGTGATATGGTGGGAACGTTCAGTTGCTTGGCAACAGCCTTCAGGGCTTGATTGTAAATGATTTGAGTCTGCAAGTGGTATGCTGTTTTTTGGGCACTGCAGGGCAATATTATGCTTAAAATGATTGGTATTGAAGAATGCAGCTGTGCACTCTCTAATGGGACTAACATGCATTTGATCAGTGAGAGGAACTTTATATCTCGAATCGGGTTTGAAGTTGATTATCTTTCAAAAGACATAGAAAGTAAATGAGTGATCTCATCCCAACCACAAACATACCTTTCACACATACCTGACTGCAAGATACTTCTGACTGGGCTTTAGATGCTCCTCCCTCTTCATCAAACCTGTGGGAAAAACACACAAACACAGGCCCAAACTCATCAGGCACACTCCCACAAAACACTGTCACTTAGAAACATGTCTAGAAGTTATAGTTGAAGTACAGATACAGTTCGGTTATAAAGCAGAAGCACTACTGCCGCAGTGTTGTGGAGTTTGAGGCCAATGGTCTCCTGCGATTCACACTAACCTGCAAAAACAGCAGCTATACTCTGATACAGCAAATATGTGTGAATGAAGCCCACGTGATTATGCAGACTCACACACACTCACCAAATACAAACAGAAATGATATCCACACATCTGTGCTTACGCACTCAGCATTTTCAAAGTTATGCACATTATAAGAAAATAATGACTAAATACATGTAGTAAATGAATACTCTCTCTCTCTCTCTCTCTCTAGACTACAGCTCAAATGTTTGGGGTGATATTTATTTTGAAAGAAATTAATACTTATATTCAGCAAGGATATATTAAGGACACATTGCTGAAAATTCTCAGTAAAGACATTTATAAAAAGATCTCTATTTTAAAATAAATGCTCTTTTTATGAAAAAATCCTGAAAAACATGCATCACATTGTTAAAAAAAAAATCAAGTAGCTATTTTCAACATAGATAATTACAAATTTCTTGAGCACCAAATCAGCATATTAGAATGATTTCTGAAGGATCATGTGCCATCACAGAAATAAATTACATTAAGATATATTAAAATAGAAAACAGGTATTTTAAATTGTAAAAACATTCCACGATGTCACTGTTTTAATTGCAATTTTAATCAAATAAATGCAGCTTTGGTGAGCATAAGAGACTTCTTTCAAAAACATCAAAAAAAGAAATCTATCAGCCCCAAACCAATATATATATATATAGATAGACAGTACTGTTGACTGTAGACATTAATATAGTGTCTGTGGACAGTGCTGTCGTGTTCTGCAGCACTGAGCTGCTCTGCTCCAGTCTGGAGCATGAAGTCAAGCCATTCTTCATTCATCTCTGTCAGTGCACTGACAACTAGATTAGTCACCCTATCAGCTTGTGCAGGCTCTAATGGCTGCTGGGAAATGCATAACCCACAGCAGCATGTACACACAGACACAATCCCACTCTTCTTCCTTTAGCAAATGTGACAGCATCAACAACACCTCATGATATCTGTTCACCGGGCAGCACTCTCAGGTCCTTCACAGACCCATTGAAACAGTATTAACAACGAAAGGAACCACATGTCGGACACATTGAGGTCTGGTGCTAATGTGGGAGACTCGGTTGAAACCTGGGTTGTAACCCCGATTGTATAGAGTGTATTTTTTGTAGGAAACGTGCTAGCATTTTAGCACTTCCACCTCTATCATCCTGAAAAATCAATGGGTTTTTGGTTAAATGCCTGAAATATGGTCAGTGGTAAACACAAGCTCAAAATATTTTTCATTTTGCGACACAAAATACATCAGTAATACACCATTTGTTTTTTCTTTAAAGCTTTTACTGGTTTTGAAAAAGGCGATTGCTAACAAGTGACTAAACTGACCCTTTGCCGGGTATTTGATTGACAGGCGATCTGACCAATCATAATGCAGAATCTGTCAGACAACCAGACAGGAGAGTAGATTAATGTTGGTGGACTTGAACTTCAAAAGTGGTGTGCACTGATGTCTTTCCGCAGTTCAAACAAGATACCTTCTGATGTTAATGTATGTTTTTTTCGTGCTATAACTAGTACAGGAAGAGATTATCTATTCATGTGCCACTTGAACTGAGGCGCTACAGTAATCGGTCACGACACATTAAAGAGACACAAAATGCTATTTATTGTTAGAATTTCTTAAAAATTACAACATTTGAAAGCTGAGACTTTGTTTCATACCAAAAGTAACCTGCTCTGTCTTGTCTGTCGGCGTGTTGTCAGTTTCCTCTTTGCTCCACAGTGTATTTTTCACTGTGTGAGAA